TTTCATTCCGCGACTTTACAAGCTTGCTTAGTTGGGGACTAGAAGCGCAGTGTAAAATGTCCAAGGATATTTATTTATTATTATTATTTATTATTCACAATGTTTTTCTCCAGTGCGGCGACGTGTTCCCGGGCTTCCGTATGTTCCAGCGTCACTTCGCGGACCAACACCCGGGCGAGCCGCGTGGTTTCTACCCGGAACGACGCGAATTCGTGTGCGACCAGTGCGGGAAGATGTTCTGGGTGAGACATCATCATCATCATCATCATATCATCATCCTATAAGTCACAGGACGTCGCATCGTCATTGTGGCAGCATCTACGAGCTATAGTTCCAAAATACTGAACTGTCCTATCCATGACATTGACAGCGGGGCGCCACCGTCAATACCGGATCGCTGGTTCCGATTTTTGCCATGTTGGAAACCATATAGTTGAACGATGGTAGCGCCCCCTGTCATTGAGTTTGGTGGGACAGTTCAGCGCGGGTCATCTATACTACAAACTAGTGGTAGTCTTCACCAACAGATGGCACTGACGAACGTGTCACTACAGTCTAGTTGTAATCTTCACCAATAGATGGCGTTGACACATACATTAGTATGGAACACGCCACCGCGCCTACATTCCTGCATCGCGGTATCAAAGTTTTTTACCCCGGCTAATATAAATAGAAAACCGAGATGGTATACAGTCAGACCACGGAAAGAAGCAATTCCACCATAGCTTATGTGGTAGATCATCAAATCCCACAATCATCATTCCACTGCTCAATGAATTACTTCCAGGCGCCTACCTACAATCTTAAGGTCATCTGTCTATCTAGTAAGAGTTCAGGAAAACTTTTAAGGTTAAGGCTCATCATCAATCAGGTCATTTCGAAGCGTCAATAGCAGAACGGTGAAGACGTCTGTCCGACTAGAGATCAAAGGAAACGCGGGTTCGAATCCCACCGTTGGACTATTGTGGTGAGCCCACTCGTAACACAAGCATATTTAGCTTACCACCAGGGGTTATAGTTTGTAAGTTCCAACGTCCAACGGACCAACACCCGGGCGAGCCGCGCGGCTTCTACCCGGAACGACGCGAGTTTGTGTGCGACCAGTGCGGGAAGATGTTCTGGGTGAGATTCTTCATCATCATCATCATCATATCATCATCCTATAAGTCACAGGACGTCGCATCGTCATTGTGGCAGCATCTACGAGCTATAGCTCCAAAATACTGAACTGTCCTATGCATGACATTGACAGTGGGGCGCCACCGTCAATACCGGATCGCTGGTTCCGATTTTTGCCATGTTGGAAACCATATAGTTGAACGATGGTAGCGCCCCCCTGTCATTGAGTTTGGTGGGACAGTTCAGCGTGGGTCATCTATACTACAAACTAGTGGTAGTCTTCACCAACAGATGGCACTGACGAACGCGTCACTACAGTCTAGTTGTAATCTTCACCAATAGATGGCGCTGACACAAACATTACTATGGCACACGCTACCGCGCCTACAAACCTGCATCGCGGTATCAAAGTGTTTTGTAAGGTCACTTAAAAATTAGAGATTGATGGTGAAAACAGAGTTTCTTCCGCCACTTCTTCTCAGCACCAGCCCATATGTTGTCCCAAAGTGGTGTTAGGGCAAGCTGTATTTGGGATGTGTATAAGTGCCCTGGAAAGGGCTTATGTGCTGAATAAACTATTTAAAGAACCAATTTTGGTGAAATGTGGCATACAAATAGTTTCGAGTCCCGGGAAAGGACATAGGATAGTTCTGTGACAGACAAAAACTCACGCGGGCGAAAAGCTAGTAGAAAATAAATTAGATTTTCAAGCACTCCACAGAATCTCTTGATGAATTGAAGTGTACTTTTGTTTCAGAGTCTATCAGTGCTCAACGACCACAACCAAACGCACTGCGGTCTCGAACCGTACAAGTGCGACAAGTGCGGCAAAACATTTTCCATGAAGAGCACTCTACATCGACATATGAGCACGCACAAGCCGGCGCCGGAATGTAACCTGTGCGGGAAACAGTTCGCGGCTGTTTATAATTTGAAGAGGCATATACTGGTGAGATGTACTGACACGGACACAGCCACTAGTGGCTGTCTAGACTCGGCCACAGCCACTAGTGGCTGTCTAGACACGGATAGAGCCACTACAAAGCCACTAGTGCCTATCTAGTCACGGACACAGCCACTACACAGCCACTAGTGGCTATCTAGACACGGATAGAGCCACTACACAGCCACTAGTGGCTATCTAGACACGGATAGAGCCACTACAAAGCCACTAGTGCCTATCTAGTCACGGACACAGCCACTACACAGCCACTAGTGGCTATCTAGACACGGATAGAGCCACTACACAGCCACTAGTGGCTATCTAGACACGGACACAGCCACTAGTGGCTATCTAGACACAGATAGAGCAATTGACCTAGGCACTAGAAATATATTTAAAACTGCCACGCGGTCTCGTGCTATAGTCTGGTCGCCGAGCACCGAGCACGTCGCGACAGCAATATAATTACGCGCGAGCGATAAGGATGGGTAGCTTAGGGTCATTGGACGAAATTCTACGTGCTCGGCGACCGGACTATAGACACGGTCACAGCCACTATCTAGACTCGGGACACGGCCACTAGTGGCTGTCCAGACACGGACACAGCCACAAGTCGCTGTCTAGACACGGACACAGCCACTGGTGGCTGTCCGGACACGGACACAGCATTTAGTGGATGTCCGGACACAGACACAGCCACTGGTGGCTGTCCAGACACGGACACTGGTGGCTGTCCAGACACGGACACAGCCACTAGTGGCTGTCTAGACACGGATAGAGCCACTACACAGCCACTAGTGGCTGTCTAGACACGGACACAGCCGCTAGTGGCTGTCTAGACACGGACACAGCCGCTAGTGGCTGTCTAGACACGGATAGAGCCACTACACCTAGTTTAGACACGGACACAGCCACTACACAGCCACTAGTGGCTATATAGACACGGATAAAGCCACTACACAGTCACTAGTGGCTGTCTAGACACGGACACAGTCACTAGTGGCTGTCTATACACGGACACAGCCACTAGTGGCTATCTAGACACGGATAGAGCCACTACACCTAGTCTAGACACGGACACAGTCACGAGTGGCTGTCTAGACACGGACACAGCCACTAGTGGCTATCTAGACACGGATAGAGCCACTACACCTAGTTTAGACACGGACACATCCACTACACAGCCACTGGTGGCTGTCTAGACACGGACACAGCCACTAGTGGCTATCTAGACACGGACACAGCCACTACACAGCCACTAGTGGCTGTCTAGACACGGACACAGCCACTAGTGGCTATCTAGACAAGGACACAGCCACTACACAGCCACTAGTGGCTGTCTAGACACGGATAGAGCCACTGCACCTAGTTTAGATACGGACACAGCCACTAGTGGCTATCTAGACACGGACACAGCCACTACACGGCCACTAGTGGCTGTCTAGACACGTTAGCACACATTTTTTATTTGTATTTTCATTTTAATATGTTGTGTCAAATAAATTATTTTTTCTTTCTCAGATCCACATGAACGCCAAACCGTACGCTTGTGAGCCCTGCAATAAGCGTTTCTGCACTCCTTCTGAGAAGAAAGCGCACATCGCTCACTGTCACTTGGGCGTTCCGTACCCGAAGAAACGGACCAAGCATGAGAGGATGCTCAGGGTATGTATTAGCCACTGTGGCTATCTCTAGTCCACTTTAGTTGCATAATCTAGTCACAGAGCCACTAGTGGCTATCTCTAGTCACAGAACCACTAGTGGTTATCTCTAGTCACAGAGCCACTAGTGGTTATCTCTAGTCACAGAGCCACTAGTGGTTATCTCTAGTCACAGAGCCATTAGTGGCTATCTCTAGTCACAAAGCCATTAGTGGCTATCTCAGACCCATAGCCGCTAGTGGCTATCTAGACACTTGGACACAGCTCTATTGGCTCGAAGAAACGGCCCAAGCATGAGAGGATGCTCAGGGTGCGTATTGGCCACTGTGGCTATCTCTAGTCCACTTTAGTTGCATAATCTAGACACTGTATATCTCTAGTCACAGAGCCAATTGTGGCTATCTCTAATCACAGAGCCACTAGTGGCTATCTAGACACTTGGACACTGCTCTAGTGGCTATCTAGACACTTTGACACTGCTCTAGTGGCTATCTAGACACTTGGACACTACTCTAGTGGCTATCTAGACACCTGGTCAGAGCAACTAGTGGCTATCTCTATCTCTAGTAGCCACCCCGGTAGTAGCTAACTTTAGACACTTAGCCACTTACAAAGCTGAAACGAACATCAACAAGCGTTTCTGCACTCCTTCAGAGAAGAAAGCGCACATCGCTCACTGTCACTTGGGCGTTCCTTAACCGAAGAAACGGCCCAAGCATGAGAGGATGCTCAGGGTACGTATTAGCCAATAGTGGCTATCTGTAATCCACTTTAGTTGCATAATCTAGTCACAGAGCCACTAGTGGTTATCTCTAGTCACAGAGCCATTAGTGGTCTCTAGTCACAGAGCCATTAGTGGCTATCTCTAGTCACAGAGCCACTAGTAGCTATCTAGACACTCGGACACAGCTCCAGTGGCTATCTAGACACTTGGACACAGCTCTATTGTATTGGCTCGAAGAAACGGCCTAAGCATGAGAGGATGCTCAGGGTACGTATTAGCCAATAGTGGCTATCTGTAATCTAATTTAGTTGCATAATCTAGACACATAGCCACCAGTGGCTATCTCTAGTCACAGAGCCATTAGTGGCTATCTCTAGTCACAGAGCCATTAGTGGCTATCTCTAGTCACAGAGCCATTAGTGGCTATCTCTAGTCACATAGCCACTAGTGGCTATCTCAGACCCATAGCCGCTAGTGGCTATCTAGACACTTGGACACAGCTCTATTGGCTCGAAGAAACGGCCCAAGCATGAGAGGATGCTCAGGGTACGTATTAGTCTAGACACGTAGCTTGTACACTTTATTGCATAATCTAGACAGCCACTGGTGGCTATCTCTAGTCACAGAGCCACTAGTGGCTATCTAGACACCTGGACACAGCTCCAGTGGCTATCTAGACACTTGGACACAGCTCTATTGGCTCGAAGAAACGGCCCAAGCATGAGAGGAGGCCCAGGGTGCGTATTAGCCTAGACACGTAGCCACTAGTACACTTTATTGCATAATCTAGACACATAACCACTAGTAGCTCTCTAGTCACAGAGCCACTAGTGGCTATCTAGACACTTAGACACTGCTCTAGTGGCTATCTCTAGTCACAGAGACACTAGGTAGCTTTCTCTAGTCACAGAGACACTAGGTAGCTTTCTCTAGTCACAGAGACACTAGGTAGCTTTCTCTAGTCACAGAGCCACTAGTGGCTATCTCTAGTCACAGCTCTAGTGGCTATCTAGACACCTGGTCAGAGCAACTAGTGGCTATCTGTAGTAGCCACCCCGCTAGAAGCTATCTTTAGACCCTTAGCCACTTACAAAGCTGAAACGAACATCAACAAGCGTTTCTGCACTCCTTCTGAGAAGAAAGCACACGTGGCTCACTGTCACTTGGCAGTTCCGTATCCGAAGAAACGGCCCAAGCATGAGAGGATGCTTAGGGTATGTATTAGCCACTGTGGCTATCTCTAGTCACAGAGCCACTAGTGGCTATCTCTAGTCACAGAGCCATTAGTGGCTATCTCTAGTCACAGAGCCACTAGTGGCTATCTAGACACTTGGACACAGCTCTATTGGCTCGAAGAAACGGCCCAAGCATGAGAGGATGCTCAGGGTGCGTATTAGCCAATAGTGGCTATCTGTAATCCAATTTAGTTGCATAATCTAGTCACAGAGCCACTAGTGGCTATCTCTAGTCACAGAGCCACTAGTGGCTATCTAGACACTTGGACACATCTCTATTGGCTATCTAGACACTTGGACACAGCTCTAGTGGCTATCTAGACATTTGGACACTGCTCTAGTGGCTATCTAGACACTTGGACACTACTCTAGTGGCTATCTAGACACCTGGTCAGAGCAACTAGTGGCTATCTGGAGTAGCCACCCCGCTAGAAGCTATCTTTAGACAC